CGGGTCCATGTCCATTTACCCAAAATATTGACTGAAGTCAACTTAGATCCATTTTAAAGTCAACATTCATCATTTTTTACAGATTACACATAATGGCTTCCCGGCTACGCGCCCGGACTGTGCACGCAAATCGAGGTAATGCTGAAAGAGGTTTTTAAGGCCTCAGAACGCAGAATTCATTTTAAAACTAGTGATGAACTTTTGGGTCATCACACGGAGGTAGTACATTTTAGAGTCCGGAACCAAAATGTGGTTCTTTTGGAATCAAAGAACCGAAATGTGTAGAAAAAAAGATGGTGACCATTTTATATATAACGCCCTTTTATAGGGCGCTATACTTTAATGGCCGTCTTCCCAGTTAAGTATAACGCCCTTTTAAAAGGCGCTATAGTTCAAGTTGAAAGGACGGGAAGGTATAGCGCCTTTTATTTAGACTCTTTAGTATAACGCCTTAATAAAAGGCGTTATACCCACATAAAAACCGTCCCCTTCCCTTCCCTACCAAACCAGAAACTCCCCCTCCCTCTCCATTAAAACATAAAAAAATAGCGGTCTCCCCTATTGTCAACGAAAAATTGCTCGAGTGGAGCCCACCCTCCCATAAAAAGTAAAGGTTCTCGGTCCCACATCCTAGCTAAGGTGTTATCTCGTAGTGGGTTGCTCGTTTCGGCCCCAAATCACCAAATCTTCAACTTTCCAAAAATCTTAAATAGAGGTATTCCGACTTAGTTTTTGTTAAAACTCGTATAAAAAAATGCATATTTTGTTTTTAAAGTGCTCTATGTTATTTTGTGATTGTTTTGCGATTTAACTACTTTGTTATTTTTTATCCGGACTATAGTATTAGTGTGCTAAAAAAATATAGTAAATTAGAGAAATTATTATTAGTTGTTAAAAAATATATTAATTAGTTACTTTTTACTATGGCATATGTATTTTCGTGATTGTTTTTTGATTAAATTAATTTGTTATTTCTACCCGCTTTAAATTATTTAATTGCTAAAAGATAAGTAAAATAGATAAAATGTTAGTTTAGTTCCCTATGTGGCCTAATATAGTGCTCGTATTTGTAATGTAATACCCTTTTAGCTTAGTAAAATGTAGTGCCCTTTATCATAGTATCCTTATAGTTATTGAAATTAATCATTTTAGTATTTCTTATACCCAAAAATACGTCAAAAAAGCTAATAGTTCAAACACAAACTCTCTCCAATTCTAGTCAACAAACGCAAGAAAATAACATGAGGAAACAACAATATTTGTCAAACTAAGTATTGTTATATGAATATTTAATAATTAAATCCTATATAGTTATGAAAATTAATTATTTAATTTTTTATAGTAAAAAATAAGTGAGTAACAAACAAACATATAAAATAATAAAACTAACATATAAAATAATAAACTAAATATACAATAATAAACTAATATTTAAAATAACAGACCAGTTAGTGATAAATCGGGGAAATTTTCTCATCATGAACACATGAATTCAGGATGCCTTGGTGCTACTGGGCCTCAAATATCGAGTCCGGAACCAAAATGTGAATATTTAATAATTAAATCTTGTATAGTTGTGAAAATTAATTATTTAATTTTATTATAGTCAAAAATAGGTGAGTAACAAACAAAATAAAATAATAAAACTAACATATTAAAGTAACATATAAAATATAAAATTATAATATTAAAAATATATCAACCTAATTAACAATATAGTAAAAATATCGAATAAAATTTAATATTAAAGGTATTGCAATATATTTAAGCAATGAAAAAGAAAAATAATGTAATTAATATTGTTCAAATTACAGTAGTCGTCATGGAGGTTCCGCCTTTGCATCCCGGACCTGCCTCGCTAGAGCTACTGTTGCTACAGGCCGAGCATAGGTCTTCCTACATATGAGAGGGACAGTTATTGGCCCGAACGTTCCACACCAGAAGAGTAGACGATATGTGGGACTTTCTTAGGGCCCACCATCTTCATCCCCGTATAGTCAGACACCTCCAGGATACGGATTTTTATAGGATTGTTGAGATCGGCCGGCTGCAGCTGGATTGGTCGTTGATCATGGATTTGATAGAGCAGTGGCGACCGGAGATGCACACATTCCATTTGCCCATTGACGAGGCCACTATCACGCTGCAGGACGTGGAGGTTCTGTATGAGCTGCCGGTTGATGGACATCCCATTGCTTTGCCGCATGCCATGAAAGAGTATGCGGGAGATCAGTACCTGGAGATGTTACAGCGGCTCATTGGTTTCCTACCAGCGGATGATGGTACATTGGTTGGGGCTAGTTGTCTGCAGTTGACGCCCGTCCGGTTGCATCTGGAGGCAATACATGCTGACATTACGGATGATACACCGGATCTTCATATTAACCGGTACACGAGGTTGTTGTTGCTGCTTATATTTGGAGGGGTATTGTTCCCGAACATTTCGGAAAACCTATTCAGCTTGAGATTTCTCCATCATCTTGAGTGGCTAGATGATTTACACGACTTGGTTACTTGTACAGGCAGATGTGTCGGGCGAGCATGGGCATCCAGTGAGACGTTGCAGGATTTTTGCTGCTTCTATAGTTGAAAACATATTCAAATACTCTCTTCATTATAACATAGATCATAAAAATATACCTTAAATTTTACGTCCAAATTGTATATTAGGTTTGGGCATGGGAGCGGTTCTTGCAGTTGCAGCCACCTATACCACCCATCGCTCCGGGTGTACCACCTCCACCGTTTCTCCCTTTAGCTAGGAGGTGGGTTGATAGGCGAGGATACAGACGCGAGTACGAGGCACGACATAATCTCCCCTATTGCAGGGATTTGTTAGATTTGCTGGAGGCAGTGCAGGTAATTGTATACTTAAGTTTACTTGGCCTGAATTTATATATGTTGCATATACTCACGGTCCCTATTTTTACGTCATAGTTTATTTGGAGGCCATACAATGACGAGATAATAGCCGGTTTGCCCGATTATTGCTCGACCGACTGACTTATGTGGAGCTCTTTCGTCCCGTTGATGTGTCTCGATATTGTCGAGTTCATGCCACCGAGCGAGTCCTTCACCCGTTTGGTCGACCGCGGCTTGTACCTCCACTGCCCACTTGGATTATGACACATTACCAGTGGGATGATCGTTCCAGGGTTGACGAGACATATGTGGCATGGATAGAGTTGCAGATCGAGATTTGAGACTAGTGGCATGGCCTGTTTCCGCCTCCCTCTCCACCTGAGCATATGGATGGTGAGCATGAGTGTATGGGCTGGTACCGCAACATTACCCGGCTTTTCATCGGGAATCCCGTTTATTGCGCTGGCGGTTGGTTCGTTCCATACGCTGGGAGGCATGAGGCACTAGTATGTTATTTGGTATACTTAGTTATAACGTTAACGTAGTGTTTAGTAATTAATATTTTACATGTTGTGCAGGCTATTAGACTACATCTGTTCTACTAGTTGGGACTGCAGATACATCAGCATACCGGCGAGGGAACGACCTCTTTGCACGAGTATGGCCTGTAGGTTACAGATCTGGATGCCCGAACATTGCAACGAGCCCGACATGATGAGCGCTTAGGATACGAGGCTGATTATGTGGCGCCAGAGCAGTACCAGCATGGGCCAGCAGTACAACCTGAACATGGTCGACGTGGCAAGCGTGCCTAGAGAGGTAGGGGCGTCCCACGAGGTTCTGGGGGTCGCCGAGGATGTTGTCCCCAGAGAGGTAGGGGCGTTGAGGCACCTGCTGAGGATGTTGGAGTTGATCAGCTGGGTGACCGCCCTCCGCCAGATTATGCTCCTAGTGATATGCCCTCATTTAGCTTGGGGCTTACTCTAAGGACTTCGCAGGTGACCCCGTCAGCTCCATTGTTGATCGCGGGTACGGCCATTACCTCACATGACTGAGATGAGTATTTTCCTGACCCTCCAGAGGCATCGACAGTTGCTGATGATTGTCTGGTACGAGATGAGGATAGTGGGCGCCGACTGAGTTATGGCTCATCACCGAGGGATGCTGAGGATCTTTCACAGGATTTGGTTAGTTTGTATTACTATTATTTATATTTGTGTTTATATCATTGATTAGTCATAAATATCTAAAGCCTATTTTTTTTGAAGCCATCATTCTCGCCCGTCACGGAGGACACTTTGTGCGACACTGAAATGCCTGACACGGATGATTATATTGTGGAGCCCGCTGAGACCATGGCAAGACATTTTAATTTTTTTAGCTAATACGTACATTACTAATATATATTTCATATACTAAAATATCTTATTATTCTGTAGGTTACTACTGGATTGACGGCCTCTTCTACTGAGCCTACCAGCCTTACCAACCATCATGCTGCAGTGCATCCTCCGATAAAGAGGTGACGTGATAAGGATGATCTTGACAGTGTAGTCGGGCGGGAGGGGATGCGCCTCAGACCACCGGCTGCTTTAAAGCATAAAGGTTGTGGGACACATTAATTTTTTTTTTTGATTTTATGTACATATGACATTCAGTAAATAGTAGCAACATTATTATGTTTTATATTATGTGCGTATTATGTTTTTATTTCTCGGGTTCTTTGTTATTTTAATACTACAAAAAAATAAATAAATATAGCAATTTAACATAATTTAAATTCGGTAAAACTAATAAAAATACATGATACGAAAAACATAAAAAGAAAATACTATACTCAACACATACATGTGTTTGTTTAGTCACTATCGCCCATTATTTTCTGCTTCAACCACTTAAATTGCTCTTCCAACCTATTTTTTTTAGGAATGGCAATGGGGCGGGGCGGGGCGGTTGCAGGGCGGGTTGGTGCTTAACCCACAAAATTTCAACCCGCCCCGCAATTTTTTTTCATTGTTTTTGCTAAAAAAACAAAAGTTTAATATTTCACTTTTTTCAGTTTCTTAAATCCCTCATATGGATCCAAATATTATATTTCTATTTTCAGAGATTATAAATCTATGCATGCACAAGGCACATCACGACTTACAGCTAATACCGGTGAGACCTGGGAAGGCAACCCGATTGGGTGTTAGAGGATCCATAGTACCTGCAGTCTCCCGGACTTCATATTCATCATTTTTGAAAGCGAAGGGAAGGGATATCTTTTCTGCAATGGAAAAAAAATGGAGCAGATTTGACTCGGCACATTTCTAATTCATTACTTTTGTATTTTCGGGAATTTCGTATTTTCATTAGCTTTCTTAAATGAATCCTGAAGATACGACTTGTGGCAGCTTGTCTTGTATTTGTATCATGCTTTGTAGTTACTTCTGAATTTGTATCACCTTTTTCCTTTTCTCTTTTGCGGGTGAAAACATGGACACCGCTGTTGAATAAATTCTGCACATCAGGAAAGCTTGAATTGTAGCTTATATACAAAGTCCAAGTTCAGTGCTATGAGGAAACCTGCAAGGAAACCCACCCCGCCCCGCCCCGCCCCGTGTTAGTTTTTGAAAAAAATAGTTTCAACCCGCCCCACACTCGTTCTGCACCCGCATAAGATCAAATCCACCCCACCCCGCATAAGATCAAACCCGCTCTGTCCTGCACCGCCTCATTGCCATCCCTAACTTTTTTCTTTTTCCGTCTCTTTTAGTTTCTCGTTCATTGCCGCAAGTTGTCATTGTATCTTAAAGATCTGAAGTTCGTATTCACCGGTCATATTCCAAACATATTGCTAATAATATTACTAGTATTCCTGATAAATGAGTTCATTATATCATTCTTCAAACCTACATGTCCTACAAATAGGGATTATAACAAAACACTATTAATTAACATGTTATATAAAAAATATTAACAGATATTTTTTGCAAAACAATAACTTACAGGTTGTTGACATATCCAGCGTTTGCGCCCCACATTTCCATTTGATCAACACGGCTTCAAAATCGCAAGTTTGCCACAACAAGAAATATGTACGTCATTGCGTCTAGATATTTTTTAATGCAAGACAAATGCAAAATTAATGGTGTCACACTTCCTTTTTCTACCCGGAAAGGGTATATAAGGGAGTTTTTTCAATTAAAATGACAATAATCGAAACAGGATTATTAATTTAAATTCAGAGTCGCCACTTGGGATAAGTTATGGTGTCCCAAGTCACCGATTTAAAATCCCGAATCGAGGAAGTTTGACTCTATTTATGGTCTGCGAACACAAAAATTCGGGTAAGGAATTCTGTTAACCCGGGAGAAGGTGTTATGCATTCCTGGGTTCTGTGGTTTTAGCACGGTCGCTTTAATCATACCTGGCTTAATTAATTATTTGAATTACGTATTTTAGAACCTATGCACATTTTCCTTTTTACCGCTTTTAATTAAGAAATTAACCTGAAACGAGTCACGCGTACGTGTATTCATTTCTTTTGGCGCGTCAAGAATCATGTCACGCGTATGTGTCCACAATTAATCACGCTCTATTATTATTAAGAAAACTTGGCCAAAGTTGCACGAATGCATACCTTAATTTATTTTGGAAAAGATCGTAATTATGTTACGCGAACGTATACACAATCACGATGGTAGATGAATTGTGCGCCTAAAAGTATTTCTATAAATATTCATTTTAGAAACCGTAATTATGTCACGCGAACGTGTCCATAATCACGATAATAAATTAAGTCGCTTAAAGAAAGCTAAGAATATTCATTTTAGAAACCGTAATCATGTCACGCAAACGTGTCCATAATCACAATAATAAATTCAAAACGCGTCTAAAGGTTCACCTACCCGAGCGTTAACGGCCTGACATGCTACTAGCGGTTAAAATAAAATAAAGTAAACTTAGTATTAAACCCGATTTATGCGTTCACGATGATTCCAAGCACTGTAATAGACTGTGTCTTGTGCAAGTATTGCAGCAAAAGGTCATAAGAGTACTGACACATCTTTATGTTTACTTTGCTATGCCGTATAGAATGAGCAAATTCCATTTCCTTTAGATGGGACAGTGAGAGAACACCTTTTAACTTCTACAGATCACGCAAATGCATTATCTAATGGTCTTCACGGTAACTATAAAAAAAGGCTCGAGCTTCTTGAATATGACCTCTAGCGACAAGTTCCATGAAACAATGAATAAACACAGGATATAGAACACGAAGCAACTCGTGCTTATATAAATCCAGTGAACTATAAGCCCCTGATCGAAGCTTGCTATATTCTTCTTGGTACCGTTCAGGACCAGTTTCAAATTCAGAGAAAGAGGGGATTTTTTGGCATTCTTCTACTTATACATATGACATCAGATTATAGAAATAGTATGTATATACATTCGTGACTTTAACCAGAATATCATTTAACTTAAACATTCATAATGCAAATAAAATTGTAGCAAATATCATGGCACCAAGTTAAAGGATCAAATTAGATTTTAGAGCATGGCAAAAATATGGCACGCAAACAACCTATACTACTCACGGGTAAGGAAATGTTTTTTTTTTAGATCCAAATGCATTGAAGGATAAAAGATTAGATTGGAAATGGACCTTTATATTGACTGGATCAAACTTTACACTTCTATACTCAGCCATCGAACCGACAACAAAGACAACGACCGTAAACCTTTGCCGGCAGCAAGACCTCGTCGGGGACCTCAACGAAAAAAGAATCTGTCATGGATGAATCTGATTCCGACGAAACCAAAAACAAAGTAAATGACGTAAAAGAAATGAGAAGGCGCAGGGGCAGCATTGTTCGTTCAAATCGAGTCCATGGATAGAGGACTAGAACCTCAATTTCCAAATGATACCAAAACCAGGCCACGTGATGAATCCATATCTAAATTCGACCAATGGTTGCAAATTCAATAAGAAAATCTATGAGATTAGAAAGCAGAATAATAGGAAGGGGTGAGATCTGGTGGAGGTTCTTTGATTTTTGGGGAAGTTGGGGCAGCAGGGAGTTCTAAGAAGATGGGGTTGCAGCTAACTTAGGCTTTTGTATATTGGGGATGATAAGGTGTAATTAGATTGAAGTCTTGATTGAAGGATGAAGTCACGGTGCATTCAGTGAGCAAAACCTTGGATTTTCCCGAAATTTCATTGAATGAAATGAAAATACTGATCTTCAGTGGGCGGAGGACTGTGTATCTCTTTTCTTAGTTTAGATTTTAGGAATTAGGCATTATATTTATGATAAACTATCACTTTATGCCCATTAATTTCAAACTATTTACCCTTTAATACTCATATCCAAACTATTTACTATTCCTATCCATGGTCTCAAACTATTTACCTTCCTTTATTTTCCTCCAATTCTCCGTCTCTTTTACCTTCCGCCATCTCTCCATCTCCATTGTTTGCATATCCAGAAATCATTGAATTCCAAGATACCAGATCTGGTTTCTTTATTTTTCCGAAGACTTTCAAAGCTGCTTCACTATCACCACAACTGGAATACATGTCAAGCAGCGTACTGTACAAGGGCAAATCTGGTGCAATCCCGGAAACAATTACTTTAACATGAGTTGCTTCCCCTGCAAGACCATCTCTCAACCTGCTACAAACACTCAACAACGTTGTATAAGTGAAATTTGTCGGATTAACTCGAGCCATCAACATGTTGTCAAATAGCTGAAGGCCTTCCATGGCCCTACCATTGTTGGGCTTGAAGCTCAATTTTATTTTTGAAGATTTCTTGTTTGGTTCAAAATGAGTGCTATTAAATATTGCTTATAGTACCTTCTGGAATTTCATACTGAAATTTGATAGCGTTTGGGGCTGATTTGAGGTGATTGAGATCGAAATTTTCAGTTGATAATCGAAGAAGAACACAACTACAATATACCGCTACGGTATACAATATGCTGTAGGAGTATATAGCTATACTACAACACTATACTATTATAGTTTACAAAACAGTATACCGCTACAGTATACTAATATATAGGAGTATATAGTTATACTGCAATAGTATACTATTATAATATACAATATATTGTTATGGTATACTGTAATAATATGCAAGATACTGTAACAATATGTTGCAATAGTACACTATACTATAATAGTATACTTATTACCCGTAAATTCACTTGTCTTTTCCCTTTTAATTTGTTTTAAGCTTTTACCCAAGCGTGAGGGGCAAACTGAAAATGCAAAAAATAATAAAAATAGTATGCTATATGATGTAATGGCATACTCTTACAATTAGGTCCTTTTAGAATTTTTAATATTTTTTTACAACTGATATTATTTCAGTTTAATAATTGAATTAATTTTTTTTAACTCTTTGCGTACAATTGTATACCCTGTTGGTATAACTATATACTATACCGATATCATATGTTAGTTAATATTTTTTTTTGTATTAAATACATTTAATTGGTACACAATTTAATTTTTCTTTAGTAATAATATAAAAAAAGAATAATAAAAAATAGTGAAAACAACAAATGAAATTAGATTTTGAAAAAAAAGAATATATAAAAACAGAAGTTAAATAAAATTAGAAAAGGGAAAAGGAAAAAAAATAAGAAGAAAACGAGAAAAAAGGAGAAAAGAAAAAAAAGAAAAAAAAGAAAAAAGAAAAGAAAAGAAGCATAGAAATAAAAAAGAATTGGAGAATAAAGAAAAAATTTCCCACAAAACCTACTATGGGTAGGAAATATAATTAGTTTATGGGTAGGAAAATAAATGGGTAGACAAGGGTAAATAGTTTTGTTTTTGTGGGTAACTGTGTCAAAACCCCTATTTTTATAGGGGTAGTAATTAGGTTAGGTCAAATGAGGAATGAGTATGAGCTCAATGTTTTGGGCTATCCGAAATTGGGCCAAAAATTGAGCTCTAAGACTCTTAAAATTGTGGTCCAACACCTTAATTAACTCCCTTTAATATAAGATAGAAACGCTACACAATGCAAAAACTAATCCTAATTAATTAAACTAAGCTATATTAAAATATAAAACTATTATATTTTTTTGTATTTTCAAGATTATATAAAGATAAAAATAAGGCACTATTTTTTGTACTTTTTAATTTTATGAAAGGTACATAAAATAAAATATTTTTTATAATTTTTTATTTTTGTGACGAAATAAAATAAAAGAGTCAAACTTAGTTGAAATAACTATATTAGACCTAAACTAAGTATTTAAATGCTAAAATATGTAAAATCTTGGGGAATGTCAAAAATTACATGTCTACAAATGGAAAGCTTTTTCTACTTGATACAAATAATAACTAAATGCGTTAGGCTTTTATAGGCAAGAAACAAAATACATAACGTGGTATTTCACCGTGCTATGCTTCGCGTGACAATGATCCTTTAGGGTACAATACAACTTTTCTAGAACGACAAATTTTTCAGGTCGACAAGACAATACACATAACATGGTATTTCACCGTGCTATGATTCGCGTGCTAATGATTCTTTAGGGTACAATACAGCTTTTCCAGAAGATAGTTTTTCCAGAATGGCCGCTTTTTCAGGTCGACAAGACAATATACATAAAGTGGTATTTCACCGCGCTATGCTTCGCGTGATAATGATTTTTTCGGGTATAAGAAAGCTTCTTAAACTGAACCAAGTCATATGTATTTCAAAGACCTTTTGAATAAATATTACAACATCCATTAAAAAAATGCCACTAACATTTAACAAGTGGTTCTAAAAGAGGTAAAAAAGTGAAGGTAGTTCGATAGATCTCCATGGATCACGTCTTAACATTATCGGTCCCTAACTTGAAAAAAATATGCTAGGTTGCTACACTGACTTGAGTGATGACAAGTGGTATGGTATTCTGCGTACCTTGGAAAATCATCCTATCAATATACATACTGATCTCAAAGTTGTATGGCACATTATTGAGGGCGAAACACATTCTACAAAGCCTGAAGGTATGCGAATTTGGGGCGAAAAACTACAATGGGTTCCCCTTTACTCAAAACGGTATGATTAAGAAGTACTATGTCGCTGGCATGGGCTTGTTGTGCCACAAGCACTGTCTGCAGCCTTCCAAACAAACACACACAAAGATGAACTAGAAGTTATTATGCATTTGATAAAGGAGATTATAGAGATAGAAAAGGCACTACCTGTTCATCATGCAGTGGATGATCTTAACAATTTTGGAGGAACAGAGGATCAATACTGGGATTAATTAGAAAATGATAAATTGCATAGAGAGAATGATTATCCTATTTTTCCAACAGTTATCGAGTGGGAGGGATTACCTAAGTTTCTACCACAGATGTTGGACGTAAGTGTCCCATATTATTGTAGAAATCGAGCAAGTGATCTTCTTGATGATAGCGATGAAATGCGAGAAATGTGTGTCAACTGGGCCTAGATTACGATGCCCTCGGTCCGGAAGGGTACGTACACGATGTTGACGAAGAAGTTGAAGACAATGACAATGAAATAGTGCTAGACAACGACTATATTGGCGAATGATAATTGTCTTTTCTTCTTGGGGTGTATGTTAAATTGTTGTACTGAAGTACTAATGTTAAATATCAATAAGACTTAATACCAATGGAAACATAATTTTATTTTATACATTCTGCAAGATGAACATTTACATACACTCATTACAACAAATTACTGGAAAAAAAATACTACGGGTATCCTTGATAATTCGGCACATTAGATGAACTTCTACCGCTACCCAAACCAGTTGAAGGACATTTTCAATGGCCATGTCCTGTTTGCGAGCATATGCCACATTTACGCGCATAAAAGGTATCACCAACATCCATTTGGTTCCGTATATGCGTTCTTTTTTTGCATTTGTCGCTGACCTAAATACTCCTTGTTACACACCATTTTAAATGGTTCTGGCGGCCAATAATGCTCAGCACCTACTGGCTGCATCTTTCCACTATAGGTGCTTAAGTATGCAGCTGTTGCACCCCATATTTTCGTATATGGAAGTACGCCATAAGTAAATTGATATAAGCTCAGAAATGAGATGTTACATCCCGCATTTTCGTACGTTAAAGTTTCGTCATAAGCTAATCGACATAATCTCGGGATAAGATTATTTGAGGTTATAAGTATTATACTATTTCAAATAAGTGATAAGTAAATTCATGAAGGTGAAAGGGTAAGCAAATCGAAGAAAATGAGTTTCGTCGAAGTTTGGCAATTTGGGAATAAAATATGGTCCAAGCTATAATATCCCATATTTATGGACTAGTGCCATACAAGGTACCAAATGACCATGATAATAAGGTGTATAAAGTATGTTAAAAGCGAGTAATATTTTAAGTTATTTGATAATTCTTAATTATGTGGGTAATTGATTAATTATTGGTTAATGGCAGATTAACAAGTTAATCAAGTGATTAATGGATAATTATCTCAAATATTTGGATAAGAATTAAATCTCCCAACGTGGAAGCACATCAAAGCCAATTGTTGACTCTTAAATCGCATTGAAAGGCGGTAAAAATTGGATGAATTTTAGTGGCCAAGTCTTCAAAGTGGGGCCCACACCACCAAGACATTAAAATCCCTTCTCTAATTCACTTCTAGGATGTTGATGTCTCTTTAACATCTTAGTAACATCTCTAATTGAATTCAGCAAATTCAAACAAATATTTTCATATTAGCATCCTTAATAACGTGACTTTCTCCAAACAAGATCTCTTAGCATCTTTGAAACGTGAGATGTTGCAATTTTAAAGGAGTATAGTATAATCTTTCTCAAGAAAATCATACGGATTTTTCCTACTCCGATCTTGCTGTTATGTGATTTGTCGAATAGACGTATATTAAAGGGATTGTCAAGAGAATCGGCTCAGGTATGTTAAGGCTATCCCTTATTTCCTTTTGGCATGATCCATACGATACAAACAAAACGAGCAAATGCACAACTTCCATAAATGACTCTATTCATAGAAATGCTATAGATGCCTATGTTCTTGATTCCCCATGTGTCTTATTATTCAATCATTTGTTCATGGGTTTCAGAAAAATACGTAAGTTGAAAAAACTTTACTTCATGATATTACTCAAAGGCATAATAGTCTTATGAAATTCCAAGAGATTTTATTGACGTACTTCTCATGTATTGCATTCATGTACATTGACCCATGACCAGATGGAGTTATATACACTTATATATCTATATATATGTATATGAGATATGGAAAAAAGTTACAACGTTATATACGCACCACCACCTGATCAACTGGTATATGTTGATGATTTGCCCACAGTGACCGAGATGATATGATGGGATGCCCTCAGAGGCTTGATGATATTATGAACGTATATACCCATGCATGGTATGATATTTATATGCATATGCATGACATTATAAGTATTAAATGATCCATAGAGTTATTCAGACTTACATATTGAGTCTTTTACTCTATGTTTCTCTCATGTCTATTGTTTACTAATTTTCATTCCTTACATACTCAGTACATCATTTGTACTGACATCCCTTTTACCTAGGGATGATACATTTCATGCCCGAAGGTCCCGATAGACAGGTTGAGAGTCCTCCAAGTAGGCTACCAACTCAGCGGAAGGTGTTGGTGCGCTCCATTTTTTCTGAAGTTGCTTATGTGGTCAGTATGATTAGGACATGTATTGATTAGTAAGGCGGGATCCTATCCCAACCTTTATGACATTTATG